CCTCCATACTATTCCCTAGCCTACTCTTTTGATGCCCCTACATACTCCCCCCTAGCCTACTCTCTTGAAGCCCCTACATACTATTCCCTAGCCTGCTCTCTTGAAGGCCCTACATACTATTCCCTAGCCTACTCTCTTGATGCCCCTAGATACCACTCCCTAGCCTACTCTCTTGATGCCCCTAGATACTACTCCCTAGCCTACTCTCTTGATGCCCTTACATACTACTCCCTAGCCTACTCTCTTGAAGCCCCTAGATACTACTCCCTAGCCTACTATCTTGAAGCCCCTACAGACTACTCCCTAGCCTACTCTCTTGATGCTTCTACATACTACTCCCTAGCCTACTCTCTTGAAGCCCCTACATACTACTCCCTAGCCTACTCTCTTGAAGCCCCTACATACTATTCCCTAGCCTACTCTCTTTAAGCCCCTGCATACTATTCCCTAGCCTACTCTCTTGATGCCCCTAGATACCACTCCCTAGCCTACTCTCTTGATGCCCCTAGATACTACTCCCTAGCCTACTCTCTTGATGCCCCTACATACTACTCTCTAGCCTCCTCTCTTCATGCCCCTCCATACTATTCCCTAGCCTACTCTCTTCATGCCCCTACATACTCCCCCCTAGCCTACTCTCTTGAAGCCCCTACATACTCCCCCCTACCCTACTCTCTTGATTCCAGTACATACTATCCCCTAGCCTACTCTGTTGTGGCACCTACATACTACTCCCTAGCCTACTCTCTTGAAGCCCCTACATACTACTCCCTAGGCTACTCTCTTGATGCCCCTACATACTGCTCTCTAGCCTACTCTCTTGATGCCCCTACATACTACTCTCTAGCTTCCTCTCTTCATGCCCCTCCATACTACTCCCTAGCCTATTCTCTTGATGCCCCTAGATACTACTCCCTAGCCTACTCTCTTGATTCCCCTACATACTATCCCCTAGCCTACTCTGTTGTGGCCCCTACATAGTACTCCCTAGCCTCCTCTCTTCATGCCCCTCCATACCATTCCCTAGTCTACTCTCTTGATGCCCCTATATACTCCCCCCTAGCCTACTCTCTTGATGCCCCTACATACCCCCCCCCCTACCCTACACTCTTGAAGCCCCTACATACTCCCCCCTCCCCTTATCTATTGATGCCCCTACATACTATTCCCTAGCCTACTCTCTTGATGCCCCTACATACCACTCCCTAGCCTACTCTCTTGATGCCCCTACATACTAATCCCTACCCTACTCTCTTGATGGCCCCAAATACTACTCCCTAACCTACTCTCTTGATGCCCCTAGATACTACTCCCTAGCCTACTCTCTTGATGCCCCTACATACTACTCTCTAGCCTCCTCTCTTCATGCCCCTCCATACTATTCCCTAGCCTACTCTCTTGATGCCCCTACATACTCCCCCCTAGCCTACTCTCTTGAAGCCCCTACATACTATTCCCTAGCCTGCTCTCTTGAAGCCCCTACATACTATTCCCTAGCCTACTCTCTTGATGCCCCTACATACCACTCCCTAGCCTACTATCTTGATGCCCCTACATAGTAATCCCTACCCTACTCTCTTGATGCCCCTAGATACTACTCCCTAACCTACTCTCTTGATGCCCCTAGATACTACTCCCAACCTACTCTCTTGATGCCCCTACATACTACTCCCAACCTACTCTCTTGATTCCCCTACATATCCCCCCCCCCCCCCCCTACCCTACTCTCTTGAAGCCCCTACATACTATTCCCTAGCCTGCTCTCTTGAAGCCCCTACATACTATTCCCTAGCCTACTCTCTTGATGCCCCTACATACCACTCCCTAGCCTACTATCTTGATGCCCCTACATAGTAATCCCTACCCTACTCTCTTGATGCCCCTAGATACTACTCCCTAGCCTACTCTCTTGATGCCCCTAGATACTACTCCCAACCTACTCCCTTGATGCCCCTACATACTACTCCCAACCTACTCTCTTGATGCCCCTACATATCCCCCCCCCCTACCCTACTCTCTTGAAGCCCCTACATACTATTCCCTAGCCTACTCTCTTGATGCCCCTACATACTACTCCCTAGCCTACTCTCTTGATGCCCCTACATACTAATCCCTACCCTACTCTCTTGATGCCCCTAGATACTACTCCCTAGCCTACTCTCTTGATGCCCCTAGATACTACTCCCTAGCCTACTCTCTTGATGCCCCTACATACTACTCTCTAGCCTCCTCTCGTCATGCCCCTCCATACTACTCCCTAGCCTACTCTCTTGATGCCCCTACATACTCCCCCCTAGCCTACTCTCTTGAAGCCCCTACATACTATTCCCTAGCCTACTCTCTTGATGCCCTACATACCACTCCCTAGCCTACTCTCTTGATGCCCCTACATAGTAATCCCTACCCTACTATCTTGATGCCCCTACATACTACTCCCTAGCCTACTCTCTTGATGCCCCTAGATACTACTCCCTAGCCTACTCTCTTGATGCCCCTACATACTACTCTCTAGCCTCCTCTCTTCATGCCCCTCCATACTATTCCCTAGCCTACTCTCTTCATGCCCCTACATACTCCCCCCCTAGCCTACTCTCTTGAAGCCCCTACATACTCCCCCCTACCCTACTCTCTTGATTCCCCTACATACTCCCCCTACCCTACTCTCTTCATGCCCCTACATACTATTCCCTAGCCTACTCTCTTGAAGCCCCTACATACTATTCCCTAGCCTACTCGCTTGATGCCACTACATAATTCTTTAGGTTGCATGGACTTGCTGATTGTGGGTTTAAATTCTGGATTTTTTCTTAGTTTCACAGCGTTAAACTCAACCTATTCACTCATTAATGTAGGTGCATTTTACGCATGACAACACAACGCTTTCTTTCCAAGAATTAAACACCCTGATTTTACGTCCAAACAAATATCCCATAGGCAAGAGCCGTATGAACAGACTTCCGAGTTTTACTTATAATTCCGCCCATGTTACTTATGCCACGTGCCTAATAGTTGATACAAGCCATGATGATCAAAACATTGTCACACCGTTATACATTACTCGTATATAAGGGAAGCATAAGAAGTGTGTAGCACAGCTGCTGTGTAGCTAAAACCCGTAAATAAAGTTAAATCAATCCTGAAATGTTTCTTTACACACCATACGTCACTATTATGCCGTCGTCTCATTCATTGTGAAGCTATCTACATAACGTCAAGTCTAATGTAGATAGTACCCCATTCACAGCTCTCGGGCATCCCGAAAACTAGAAATGAGCATTCTTAGTCAATTTCCATTGTGTTTCTGTCCAAGATGTATTGTTAGATTTACTTTGCATATTGTATTAACTCATCTATGACTGTGCATAGGATTGTTTAGACTTGCCTACCCACAACACATAGGATCGTAGAGCTTTTCCATAAATGTCGGACTTCGGTGGTGACGTGGGCGTCAAATAAGCTGTGTCAATCAATGGTTGTTATTGTAACTCAAAACTGACCAATGAGAGCCGATAACTTCCAAATTCTTGTTAGGATTATACATTAGGTGTGTTATGAATGTTCCCTTGTCACTGACTGGTCACGTGGATTTTGTATGAGAGGTCACGTGATTCATGACCATCAATTCAATGGATGATCAAACAAATCAGGGGTAGCTATTTTTAGTCTTAGAATCACAATCATTATGTGGTTGTGTCATTATTGATGTCTGCATTCAATCGTCAAATAGAGACCTGTTAAGAGTTCGAATTGAGAGTCCCATTAATGACAATACTTAAATTTAATCAAAAGGTTCTGCGTTGCCACAGCACATGTAAACAGAGGGCGTCAAAAATCGAAATTGAACACAACGAATTTGGATATTCATGATTCGGCTTTTATTCATCACTGAATTCGCCATTGAACGTATTATGATATGGTGTGGCCATTCGTCACATCAAACAATGCTCGTGTCATTGCCAGTCGTGAGAACCCGCTCGTTTGAAAAGGTGTCAGCTCAAAATAGGCGCTGCTTTTCAAGAGGTAGCAGTTTAACGTTTGAAATATGCCTTGATGCTGACAGTAATCACGTATAAAGAATAATCATTTTAGTAATAATCATCATTGCTTCAGCGACCTAAATTAAAAAGGTATGTATTTTAATTGCAGGATTGTGACACCCCACAACGCACACGCATCACATCTGTTTATCAAATAATGTCAGTCTTATCCTTAATCTATCACTAAGCTAAGTTTGTTTGTCTCGTAACTCAGTATTCCAGCTATATGGCGACGATCTGTAAATAATCGAATCTGGACCAGACAATCCTGGGATTTGACATAATGGCATTAAGCTAAGTATTTTCATTTCTCACACACGGTATCTAGTTTTCCTGGAAGGTACACGCTAATATAGTAGTCATTCATTCATTCAAGTACCTAATCCAAATTGGCATATAGTTTCCAAACAATACTTGGTCAATCCAGCTGTGAGAATGGACGATATATTCAGCATGTATCGTAAATTGCTAACGAGATTCCAATCCAATTGAATCAATGCTGACAAGTCGCTATACTGCTTTTGGTACAAGGGCTGCATGTATCAGTTTGAATGGTCGATACAGAGCAAAGGTGTGGATACTGTGCAGGATCATATCTGTCATGTTTGGAGCTTTAGCCTTGCTGGCATATACATGTTCAACATCCCCTGTTAAGAGCTGAAGGTGATAATAGATTTATCTTTCTCAGAAATGCATATACTATTCCGACCGCATATTTAACACGTCCGGCATTTATTTTTATGCATAGATGTAACATGAACAATATAGCAGTTGTATTGTGTTGAAATGCATAATGCTATATTTGCGTATTTTGGCATTGACAAAGGCCTTCATGAATGGACATAGTTTAATCTCTTGATTGAGGGAATACTGTTGAACGTCGCAGTCAGATTTATTCGAGCTAAAACTAGGCACGGTGGCCTGTATATAATTGAGTCAAATCAGTTATTGAAAACTTCAAGAATGGTGCACATATCGAACACGTTGACCCGCAGATTACTGGTCACAAGGTGTCCCAAGGGATCCCCACGGGATATAGTCAAAGTACAGACTACCGGTCACAAGGTGTACCACATGATCCCCACGGACTCTCCTCCCATAGTCAAGGTACAGATTACTGGTCACAAGGTGTACCACGGGATCCCCACGGACTCTCCTCCCATAGTCAAGGTACAGATTACTGGTCACAAGGTGTACCACATGATCCCCACGGACTCTCCTCCCATAGTCAAGGTACAGATTACTGGTCACAAGGTGTACCACGGGATCCCCACGGACTCTCCTCCAATAGTCAAGGTACAGATTACTGGTCACAAGGTGTACCACGGTATCCCCACGGACACTCCTCCCATAGTCAAGGTACAGATTACTGGTCACAAGGTGTACCACGGGATCCCCACGGACTCTCCTCCCATAGTCAAGGTACAGATTACTGGTCACAAGGTGTACCACGGGATCCCCACGGACTCTCCTCCCATAGTCAAGGTACAGATTACTGGTCACAAGGTGTACCACGGGATCCCCACGGACTCTCCTCCCATAGTCAAGGTACAGATTACTGGTCACAAGGTGTACCATGGGATCCCCACGGACTCTCCTCCCATAGTCAAGGTACAGATTACTGGTCACAAGGTGTACCATGGGATCCCCACGGACTCTCCTCCCATAGTCAAGGTACAGATTACTGGTCACAAGGTGTACCACAGGATCCCCACGGACTCTCCTCCCATAGGCAAGTTACAGATTACTGGTCACAAGGTGTACCACGGGATCCCCACGGACTCTCCTCCCATAGTCAAGGTACAGATTACTGGTCACAAGGTGTACCATGGGATCCCCACGGACTCTCCTCCCATAGTTAAGGTACAGATTACTGGTCACAAGGTGTACCACGGGATCCCCACGGACTCTCCTCCCATAGTCAAGGTACAGATTACTGGTCACAAGGTGTACCATGGGATCCCCACGGAGTCTCCTCCCATAGTTAAGGTACAGATTACTGGTCACAAGGTGTACCACGGGATCCCCACGGACTCTCCTCCCATAGTCAAGGTACAGATTACAGGACACAAGGTGTACCACGGGATCCCCACGGACTCTCCTCCCATAGTCAAGGTACAGATTACTGGTCACAAGGTGTACCACGGGATCCCCACGGACTCTCCTCCCATAGTCAAGGTACAGATTACTGGTCACAAGGTGTACCACGGGATCCCCACGGACTCTCCTCCCATAGTCAAGGTACAGATTACTGGTCACAAGGTGTACCACGGGATCCCCACGGACTCTCCTCCAATAGTCAAGTTACAGATTACTGGTCACAAGGTGTACCATGGGATCCCCACGGACTCTCCTCTCATAGTCAAGGTACAGATTACTGGTCACAAGGTGTACAAAGGGATCCCCACGGACTCTCCTCACACAGTCAAGGTACAGATTACTGGTCACTAGGTGTACCAAGGGATCCCAACGAACTTTCCTCCCATAGTCAAAGTACAGATTACTGGTCACAAGGTGTACCACGGGATCCCCACGAACTTTCCTCCCATAGTCAAGGTACAGATTACTGGTCACAAGGTGTACCACGGGTTACCCACGGACTCTCCTCCCATAGTCAAGGTACAGATTACTGGTCACAAGGTGTACCACGGGATCCCCACGGACTCTCCTCCCATAGTCAAGGTACAGATTACTGGTCACAAGGTGTACCACGGGATCCCCACGGACTCTCCTCCCATAGTCAAGGTACAGATTACTGGTCACAAGGTGTACCACGGGATCCCCACGGACTCTCCTCCCATAGTCAAGGTACAGATTACTGGTCACAAGGTGTACCACGGGATCCCCACGGACTCTCCTCCAATAGTCAAGGTACAGATTACTGGTCACAAGGTGTACCATGGGATCCCCACGGACTCTCCTCTCATAGTCAAGTTACAGATTACTGGTCACAAGGTGTACAAAGGGATCCCCACGGACTCTCCTCACACAGTCAAGGTACAGATTACTGGTCACAAGGTGTACCTAGGGATCCCAACGAACTTTCCTCCCTTAGTCAAAGTACAGATTACTGGTCACAAGGTGTACAACGGGATCCCCACGAACTTTCCTCCCATAGTCAAGGTACAGATTACTGGTCACAAGTTGTACCACGGGTTACCCACGAACTCTCCTCCCATAGTCAAGGTACAGATTACTGGTCACAAGGTGTACAACGGGATCCCCACGGACTCTCCTCCCATAGTCAAGTTACAGATTACTGGTCACAAGGTGTACCAATGGATCCCCACGGACTCTCCTCCCATAGTCAAATTACAGATTACTGGTCACAAGGTGTACCACGGGATCCCCACGGACTCTCCTCCCATAGTCAAGTTACAGGTTACAGGACACAAGCTGTACCATGGGATCCCCACGGACTCTCCTCCCATAGTCAAGGTACAGATTACTGGTCACAAGGTGTACCACGGGATCCCCACGGACTCTCCTCCCACAGTCAAGTTACAGATTACAGGACACAAGGTGTACCAAGGGATCCCCACGGACTCTCCTCCCATAGTCAAGGTACAGATTACTGGTCACAAGGTGTACCACGGGATCCCCACGGACTCTCCTCTCATAGCCAAGGTACAGATTACTGATCACAAGGTGTACCACGGGATCCCCACTGATTCTCCTCCCATAGTCAAGGTACAGATTACAGGACACAAGGTGTACCACGGGATCCCCACGGATTCTCCTCCCATAGTCAAGGTACATATTACTGGTCACAAGGTGTACCACGGGATCCCCACGGACTCTCCTCCCATAGTCAAGGTACAGATTACTGATCACAGGTTGTCCCTCCCATAGTCAAGGTACAGATTACAGGACACAAGCTGTACCATGGGATCCCCACGGACTCTCCTCTTATAGTTAAGGTACAGATTACAGGTCACAAGGTGTACCACGGGATCCCCACGGACACTCCTCCCATAGCCAAGGTACAGATTACTGGTCACTAGGTGTACCAAGGGATCCCCACGAACTTTCCTCCCATAGTCAAGGTACAGATTACTGATCACAGGTTGTCCCACGGGTTACCCACGGACTCTCCTCCCATAGTCAAGGTACAGATTACAGGACAGGTTATACTGATAATGCGTAATGTTTTGCTGCATATCGGTTTTATACTTGCGGGATTACTTTCGATGGTAACATAAATAACATATAAATGCAGTATGAATACATTGATTCAGTGATTGTTTGTTATCATTTCAATATTTTCTTCAATATATTGGGGGGCACGGGTGGCCCATTCGGCTAAGGCGCCGCGTACGTATGCAGAGTTGCGTACCTTGGGCACGCCAAAAACATATGACTGGGTTCGAATCCCGGTTCGCCCCAATTATGTTTCTAGGTTTGTCACCACCGTACCCGTGCTCGTGGGTTTCACCGAAGCGGTAAACGCCTGAGACCTGCATCACTTCGGGCTTTCCTTCCACATTAAGCTGGCACGCCGTGATATAACTGGAATAATGTTAAAAGCGTCGATAAACCCAACTCACTCACTCAATCTTCAATATATTGACTTTTAAACTATTTTTCCGGTAACTACTACTTCTTCACGATAGTACCAAAAGCACATTGTTAATAGTCACTGGGCAAATTAAAAACAACAGCAACAAAAACGTACTGACAAAACCGTGAACAATGAATATTGAAAACAAATGAGAATTGAGTTAATTGGTGCGATTGAAATTGGCATGAACATGGTTTGGGAAATAAGTTTTATAAATATTCAAGCTGACCTGAAACTTAATATTTAAAGCAGCAACACACGACCACTGTTAAGAGTCACAAAATTTTGAATACAAATAAAAGCTGATCATGTTAATGATGCGATTTAAATCGACGTGGACACGGCACTACACTGACCTCCATCTTTGGAGAAGGGAACGCCCATTTGATGCGTGGGGGTGGGGGTGGGATGTGTGTGGAGTTTATGTTTGTGTTGAGGGGCTTTGAGTTGATTAAAACACTTATGCTTCAAACTGTAGATAGAATAAGACATTGTCTGTCAAAAAAATACATTGTTACAAGGTATTTTTCTTACCCAAAACATATGCAGCTTCATAGTTTTGATGTTTAAAATAAATCTGAACTTTCAGGTCAAACTGAAAAAAAAGAGATATCATCTCCAGACAACATCCAAGGTCCACAACAATGGGCATTGATGTTACTGATACACAATTGTTTGGGGATAGGTTTTTTCAGATAAATCGCGGCAGCCAGAGGACAATTGAATCCAGACTTGAGTGAGTGAGTGAGTTAGGTTTAGCGCCACTTTTATAAACCTAGAAACATAGTTGGGTCGAACCGGGATTCGAACCCACAATCATATGTTTCTGGCGTTCCCAAGGTGCCTAAGACGACTGGGCCACCCGTGCCCCCGAATCTGGACCAGATAAAAGATGAACCAGATTCTCTGATTCTAACTACCTGGATCATTTAACCAGTCTTCACAGATTCCGACAGATGGTGTTATATGTTACGCATCTTTCCTATTTCATATACTATATCTCCTCTCATACAGTGGAATCACTGATCACTAAATAGATGTGAATTTGATGATTGATCCCCTAACACAGGGGTTTAACATAAATGTGGCATGGCTTGATATAACTTAAATGATTTGGTAATTATTTATGGGTAATGTGATCAAAATGTCTTCCAGCTAACATATGTAAGATTTTGATAATTTCCACATGCACGGGACTTTTCTGTTGTTTGCTTCAGTAATTATCTAACTGTGTGTCACTCTTTTATGAGTCTTGTTTAGGGTTGCATGTTATGCATTCATCATAATGCCAGGGAACAACATTTGTTATGAACTGTGTATGTCCTTATCTGTGCAGGTTAATGTGTATTTGGGTATTACCAATAAACAATACATAGGTAATAATTAACACTGACAAACTTAGAACAGAATGTGTTCTGAATAGGTTCTATATTTCAACCGTCCAGCAAATGTACCACTAATCCCTGATACAAAGATGACCAACACTACTTATATGAAAACAATCGAGTGAGGACGTTCTAGTCGAATCTGTACTTTACTCAGAAAGTGTTATCCCTTATATAACATTTGTTACATTTGATCACTTTAAATGGCTTTGTTTGTTTATAGCTTGTGAACATGGGAATTTACACATGTCAGAGGGGTACACAAAGTATGTGATCTGGGCCACAGGTTGTCACACTTTCATTGTTTGTGGAAGCCTCGGTAGCTGCGTGTGTGCTGGCGACTATGTGCCTCAATCTGGCAGTCCGGACGGGACTCAACCCCCAAAGAGTACTATATTCTGTACTTTACTCAGAAAGTGTTATCCCAAGTACAAGATTTGTTACTTTCTATATATTTATTAAAGGTATTTAACACAACAGAAATTAATATCCCTAAATACTTGTAATTGGCAGAACCAAATTGGCAGTAAATGTAGTTGACAAATATTGCTATTCATGTCACATTTGCTAGAGTATAACACCATGTAGCCCTTTCGAAGTTTGGATATCCAATGTAATAAGACACCGTCCATGTCGACGCTCTATGGTGGGCGGAGAGCAGGGGTGCAGAACCACTTTATACTTGTTACCACTCAGCCGATATGAAATTGTAGAGGTTGCTGTATCAGCACACAAAACGCTGAACTGATGTCAAGGCACCATAGAGACAGAGCGCAATGTCTGACATGAGTGAAGATGGGATGGTTGCAGAACTGACACAACAAGGAGTTACAGCTGTCAAACTATTCACAAAACACAGGATAACAACATCATGAAGATCTCTATATCTCTACCTTTTCACTTTCGAAAATTCCTGATTCGGTAATATCAGAGTGGAGGTTTAAGTACCAAACCCAATCCGATGTTACAAATATCAAATTTTTGGAGTCGGTGTCAGGACCTGCACCCTTAGTTCAGTCTGTGTCCACTGCAGTTGCCCACATGAGAGTAGTGAGTGCACAGAAGTCATTAAACGTGCAAAGTGCGACCCAGGGCCTCTTCCAAACTTTGTCCAGACAGTTAGTGGCTGTTTCCTCAAATGGGGTTGAAGTAGTGTAAAATGATTGTCCCTCTTCAAAGAGCCTTTATTTATACCAGCTTAACTTGTCATTACCTCGATTGCTAAATGTTCAAATCAGAAATAAAAACAAATTAGATGATTCGATTCAAGATGGATTTTAGTTAAATAATTACAATGGATATGTTAATATATTGTGTTAGAACTACTGGCATTATTTATGTTTGAGAGTATTGCACAGCCCGTCTGTCTGTCTGTAAGAAACAGAATAGAAGTCCCACAATTTGTATCTACGAATTGTTCACACAATTCCAATCATACATTTACCATGTACACAATGTTATATTGTCCTATTTTGAAATTTTGGGTTCATTTAACATAATGTGAGTTATTTTATGTTGTTTGCTTTGCATTTTTTTCATATTTGACGCTTTAATGAATCCACTGATGCAACATATTTTTCTATCTCTTCTCAAGAATAGTTGAAGTGAAGTGATTGTTCGTTTGCCGTGATACTCTATGTGTCAGTACATAATGACGACGGCAAACAAATTGACTTTTGACCAGACAAACTAGTGTCTGAATTAGTGTCTAAATTATATATTTATATATTATAGAGCCTGACAAATCGATTCAGTTTAGGCAAGTCTGGACTTAGAGAAACATACAAATATGCAGTTGGGGACAAACTCGACCCCAGAATTTCCACAGGTCTCTCACAACGTAGTAAAACGGAAACAAATAAGACACAATTTTGATATTGCAGATAGGCGACTCTGATCTTGTAATTTCATAATTATAACAAGTCTTTGAAAGTGATTGGAAGTGATACACATAGGGAAGATGATTTTTGGATGTAAATGCTCACTCCGAAACGTTGTGTTCCTTATAATAAAGAAGTTGACATCCATAAATCCCTTTTGTGGGTAATAATACTATAGTGAATACAAAAAGTTGATAATGTATTTTCTCAATGATTGTTACTATATATATTTCAGGTTGTTTCACTGAACCTTTTCAACATTCTACATTTCTGTTTCACCTATGTTGACAAGAAGTCCATTTGTCCAGGTAAACCTACATTGTTCTATACGTTCGCTTTTTTGTGAGACATCTGAGAGTAAATTATTCTGAGCACTTCAAGCATTTATCAAATAGCACGCAAGTTGAGGAATAGTTTACCCAAATGTGTCCTGATAAATTTATTATGCGACTCAGATTGGTGTTAGCACGACACGTCAATGACCCTCACCTTGGATTAACTCCGTGCACATACCTGGAATACCAGGTCAACAGAGCTGCCTATGTCCGAGTTGGTTTCGGGATTTCACAAATGCGTCTATCTATTATATTTTGCATTTCAATATAAACATAATCGATAAAACACTTCATACATCTTAATTATGCAGCTTTTTCATTGAACATTTCTTTACCTTCATTTCTATATCATCCATTTTGTCCCGGTGAATATAGCTTGGCTTTGGCCAGTGAACAATCACACAAAGTTATAAATTGTGTCAATGTCACATAAGGTCTGACGGAACACAGGCCAGTAGCTATTTGTTATCTTTATATATTTATATGTCTGTGTACATTGATGAAACATCGACACTGAGGACACATATGGAACAGTCCGCAAGCATGGATGAGTATGTAACGCACATCGTACAACAGAATATTAACAGAATTCACCATTTAGTTATTAAATTATTACCAAAATGAATTATATTTTTGTATTGAGTGATGAGTACGTTTTTAGGCCACTTGTAGCAATACTCCAGCATCATCA